CTGATGCAGACTGAGCTTCTTCTGGTCCTCCCTCCTACCTCCCGTCCACCCTCTTCTTCTCGCCTTCCTCCCCCTCCACCCGTGTTTATTATTAGAACTCTTCCCCGTCGCACTCTCAAGCGGCTCGCGCGTTTTGCCCGAGGCGGCCCCACCACTTAGGATCCTAAAGCTTGGGATGGGGGGCTTGGGCGCCAATTAATGAGGGGGGTGTGAAAGGGATGGGGGAGGGGAGAAAAGAGTGCTCTTTCCTGGCCCCATACGCAGCCCTCGCTGCCCCCCCCACTTCTCGCCCCCCATGGCGCGTCCTCCGATCCTGTCACGCTCCCGGGGCGGCCGGGGCGCTTCGCCGGAGACGCCCCCCGCCACTCTTGCTCCTGAAGCTTGGGACCTGCAGGACCAGAAGCGCGGATGGCTTGGGGGCGAGGCGAGGGCGAGGCGCCGGTCTGTCACCTCAGGGGGGCAGGCCTGCAAGAGCCCGGCGGTGGCGCCGGAGCGCTGAGAAAGACAGATTGTACAGGTAACACTGGGTGAGGCCCGCCATCCGCTCACCCGTAGGCGCTCGAATAGGCAGCGCGCCCGGGGGGGGAAGGGAGAAGGGGCGGGCCTTCTCAGAGTGCTCGGAATTCCCCAGCCTTCTGAAGAGCTTTCGAAGCCTTCCCCAAAGACGCAGAAACATTCTCAGAAGGCCGGAGGGCTTCTGGTAAGCCCCGCCGGCTTCTAAGAGGGCCTTCTCCTTCTCTCTTCCCCCCCTCGCTCGCCGCCGATCGAAAATGAAAGCTGGAGGGCGTCGGACCCGTTGCTGGAGAACTGGTGGGAGCTGGAGCCGGAGAGACGACGCCGGGGCGGGAATCGAAAGGGCGGATGCCAGCGCTCGCCTCGGCGCCGCGCGCAGTCGTCTCAGAAGTCCCTCCCTCCCTCCGGGAGGGACTTCTGGAGAGGGAAGGACTGAACAAGTTCTCTCCCTCCCTCCGGGAGGGACTTTTGAGAGGGAGGCTGAAGTCCCTTCCTCCCTCCGGGGGGGACTCAAAAAAGTTCGGACCATCTCGTTCCAGGAGACGAGGACTTCTTTGGAAGGTTGACGAGGACTTCTTTGGAAGGGACGAGGACTTCTTTGGAAGGTTGACTTCTGTACTTCTTTCATTCTTTCCTTCTCTCGCTCCAGAAAGGGGGGGGCGCGCGGCGTGCAAGCGCGGCGGGGCGCCCGAGGCTGCGGGCCCGGGTGCTCGTAGCGGACGCGCTGCTCCGAGCGGTAGTGGGCCGCGCCGGAGTGCTCCTGGGCTGTGCGCCGCCACTGCCGCCAGAGGAGCGGCAACGGCATGCCCCTGAGATCCTGGCGCTGCCGTTGCTTCACCACGGGCGCCTTCGCCCCGCTGCGGGCCCCGGGGCCCTCACGGGTCGAGCCGGCTCGAAGCATGACGCAGGGGGATGCGGTGTATGTGGGGCTCTGGGCGCGATTTTTGTTCGCGAGGCTGCGACTTTCTCGCGGCGCCGGCTCTCAGGGGCGGCCAGGCAGCTCTGGCTGGCGTGTCGCCACGGCGGCCCGGGCGACACGCCGTCCCCTGCGAGGGGATGTGGCGTGCTGCTCCGCTTCGCGGGGCGGGGGGGGGTCGGAGAGGCTCGGGACGTCGACGCCTGGGGGCCGCGAAGGCGGATAGCGCGTGGCGCCGAACGGCGGCGTGCCACAACTGGCGGAAGGGCACGCTGTCCCAAATGCCCCGACCGCACCTCCGTGCCATCGTGGGGCCTCTCAGCCTCAGAGCCTCCCGAGAGCCTCTGGGGATTCCTGGTGGCCGTCTGGATCTCGAGTCTTGAGGGCCATCCTGGGGGCGCCTGGGGTAATCTTGGGGCCGCGTGAGGCCGTCTTTCGATAAGCAATCGATAATCATAGGAACGACCTTTCGGATGTTCGCACAGACTCCTCGGATCGGCGCCGCACGCCAGGCGCTTCGCGCGCCGGGGAGGGAGGTCCTGCGACGACCCAGGAAATCCGCGCGGACCTCCACAAGCTGATGCCTATGCAACTTCACTGCGTTGATCGCCGTGGTCGTCATCTCAAAAGTCCACGGCTCCGACGCATTGGAACAACAGAAAACGGCGGAGGTGTCTCGAATTTCTCGGCCAATATGTGGGGGCTCTCTCGGGCACCCAGGACCATCAAAGAACACTCGGGATGAAAATTTCTTCTCCGGGAAAGGGGCTGACCCGGCGTTGGAAACTCACGACGTCGGAGGTCAGAGATCGAAGATGGACCCCAGAAATTCTCAGAGGATGCCACTGCTTTCTTTTAGCCGCTGGAGGCCTCGATGACCTCTCCGAACCACCCGCAGCTGGGGAGAGCTCCTTTCCTCCATCCCCACCTTTATTCCTTCTCCCTCTCATCGCCTTGCCTCCTCCATCGGGACGGCCAAGGGGGGGAGGCGTCCAAGAGGGGCCACGCAAATCATGGCCCGAGGCATGTGCTCGGACGAGGGGGGAGCCATGGAACGCATTGAAAGAAGAAGAAGAAGAAGAAGAAGAAGAAGAAGAAGAAGAAGAAGAAGAAGAAGAATAATAATAATAATAATACTAATAATAATATTAATAATAATAATAATAATAATAAGAATACTAAGCAGAAGAAGAGTGGGCCATGAGATCTGGAGAGATACCATGCCCCCGCCGTGGTATCCACCACCCTGATCATCACCCCCTTCTTGGCCGCAGCAGGCCCCTCTTCCCCCTCCTGCAGGGGCCTCCATCTCGCGGCGGGCGCCCGGGGCCCGTTTTTTGTGGCGGCCGCCCTCGGTGCAATCGCACCCCGAGCATCTCTGGTTGTACTGGCAGAAGTCGGGCTCCTCTCCTCGACCTCGGCCTCTGGGGCCCGCTATCTGAGTAAGCACCCCGACAAGCGGAGGCGTTTCGTAGACGCACCCAAGGGAGGACTCGAACAGGGCACGGCTGTCTAAGAAACGCCCAGGGCAGCTTAGTAATCGCCAATTCTGGGGGTCGGGGTGGCTCGTCCTCCCTTGACTATCGGGCCCGTCGGGCCCTGGGGCCCTCAAGAGTGGATCTGGGGCGAAAATCTGGCCCTGGGGAATCTCGCCAGCTCCCCCCCACTCCCTGACGTCCATCCCTGCGCGCCGCTGCACTGGCGCACGCGTGGCCGCTGTCGAGGCAGACCAGCGCTCCCGCGCAGAGACCCGCTTCGTCGCGGAGCACCCCGGCCCCGCGCCCACCCTCCTGCGTTTCGAGCGCCTGCACGGAGTCGGCGGCGAGCGAGGGGGGGACGTGAGAAGGAGAATGCCTTCTCAGAAGGCGGCGGGACTTCTCAGAAGCCCGCGCGCCTTCTGCGACATTTTCTCTGTCACTTCCGAGCCTTCTGAGAAGGCCAACCCCTTCCCCCTTCCCCTCCGGGCGCGCCGCCGACGGAGTGAGCGGAACATGCACGCGGACGCACAAGTCGGGACATCTGGGGCCGCGCATGCAGCAGCTCATACCGTCGCCGTGCTACCACAGGGAGCGCCGAGTACTTCCAGGAACGAGCGGGCTTTCCTTGCAACGGGGAGCCTCGGCCACGCGCAGGTCCCGCCACCCGGATCTAAGGAACGGCACGAATACCATAGCCCCTCCAGAGCCTTCGGTGGCAACTCGTGGGAGCCTCCCCTACCATCTTGTTGGCCGACGGCGATCGACGCGAATCGACGCGAATCGATGGTGATCGACGCCAGATCGTGGCTAATCGACGCTTCCCGACGCTAAATCGACGCTGAGTCGGCGCTATCTCACTGAATACCAGACGTTACCCGACGCTGGAGACGGAATTGAGACGGTATGCAGGGCTCCCATACCTTCTTACTGGATACGCCCAGCCGCCTCGAGGGGGGCAACCGTGTTATCGCCATGATGGGCGGAGCCAGCTCGGCTCGAACATGCGACGGCGGAGCTGGCCAGGGTCGTCTCGAGGTAGCAGCTCGGGGACTGGGGCAGTTGGCGTCCTTTGTCCTTCAAGGCCGCCGCACAGATGGCTACACGAGGTGAGGCCGAGGACCGCTGGCACAGATGGCTCCGCGATGTGAGGCCGAGGACCGCTGGGCAAGCCTGAAGGGGTCGCGCCGCCAGGAGCGCAGAGACCATCTGGTCAACGGCATGCTGGGTTTAATTTCCCGCAACTCATGAAGCACATATCATCCGAGTGATATTCAGTGGCGCTGGTCTACGGCACGCTGGACATCTTTGCAGATCGGAAGTTCTACGCACGCAACTGGATTCACCGCGGACGGGCGCCAAGGTTAAAATGCCCCAGAGCAGAAGGAGAGGAGCGCGCAGAGACCCGTGGAGAGCGGGAGGAAGAGCCAGGAGGGAAGATGGAAGCAGACGAGGACGAGGCAGCGCGGGGAGGAGCAGCTCGTTTGCCTCTCGCCCTGGGAGCCGTATCCAAGGCGGGCGCGCCGTCGGATCCCCCCCCCGACGCACGCCTCCTCGCCGGCCCGGACGCCGCCCTTTCGGGCAGCGGCGGCGCCGGCGGGAGCTGCGCGAATCGGCGGCGCACCAACAAAGGAGAAGAGAAGACTCCGTTGGGGCCTGGTGCGTCAACTTTACAAGTCGAGGATGCCCAGAGACTGCCCCTGACTTCGGATCTAAAGCGCCTGGAATGCTTGCCCCGAGTCTAGGCGCGGCGCGCCCAGGGGGGAAGAGAGAGGGGCAGGCGCTCGCAGAAGGCTTTCCCATAACCGCGTGCAGTCGGCCCCCCGAGGAGCTTCCCGCGTGAGCCTCCTCCGAAGCCGCAGAGGGCCTCTCAGAAATCCGGGGGGCCTCGGAGAAGTCCCACCGCCTTCTGGGAGCGCCTGCCCCCTCTCACTTCCCCCAGGGGCGCGCCGCCGACTCATCCAGCTTCCCCCGCCGCCGCTGTCCAGCTGGAGCATCACAAGTTGATGTATGGCTACTCGCTGTCGTTGCTCGTTCAAGAACTCGTTTTGATATGGAGCATCACGCTTTTTGTACGACGACTGGTGGCCATAAGAGAAAGAAGAACAATGCTTGTGAAGGCCTTCGGAGCCTCTTGAGAAGGCTCGCCCCCCCCCCCCCCCCCTCCGACCGTTCCCCCTCGGCGCTTCGCCGAGCGAGCTCGCTCGCGGGACGGCACCCGTGCCAGCAGCCGGAGGCCGAGCACGAGGGGGCTCGACGGGCGGCTCGCCATCGGGGAGGTGCGCCTCGCCCACGGGAGCTCCGAGCCCCAGGGCGGGCCCGAGACCCGGGGCAGAAAGCACGGCGGCCGACGAGCTGAAGGCCGCCAGGGAACGCGCTGACGCAGCAGTGCGCGTGGCGGATGGCCACCTGTCGAGCCTGGCGGAGCACGGCGGCCGACGAGCTGAAGGCCGCCAGGGAACGCGCTGACGCAGCAGTCAGTGCGCGTGGCGGATGGCCACCTGTCGAGCCTGGCGGCCAAGCATGAGGGATCGACATCTTCGCTCTTCGGATGTCGTTGGGGTTCGATTGGGATGACCTTTGGGATTGCAGGCCGCCTCGTATGTGATACTAGGCGCGGAGGTTCTCTATTGCTCTGGCACGGAGACCCCTCCCTGTTCCTCCTCCACCTCCTCCTGGGGCCTGAATGATCACCTGCTCATCCTGGCAACGCTGGGCAATTGCAGGTACGCCACGGCACCAACGCGGTAGCCAGTGTTCATGTCCTCGCTTGCACTCGTTGCTGCGAGGTGGTCGCCCTTCTCATACCCCCCGCTCTTCCTCATAAGCAAACCTCCCCTTCGCAGCGTCAGAGGCGTCAATAGGGCGGGCCTGGCGCTTCAACCGATAATTTCCCATGGTGGTGATCATGGAGCCCTTGACGTCCCCAACCGCTCCTCATGTCTGAGCGCCGCGCAGACGTGCCTGAGCAGTTTCCAGGATCTGCATGGGTGGAGGGCCCTCGCCAGAGAACCCCTCAGCTTTGATGGCGCAACTGCTCACGCAGAAAAAGACACACACACAAATACACACAAAGACACACAGACACAGACACAGACACAGACACATACATAGACACACACACACACAAAACACACACGCACACACACGCACACACACACACACACGCACACACAGACACACAGACACACACACACAGACACACAGACACACAGACACAGCCCACAACACACAATGTACAAACCACAAACACACACCACACAACACAGACCACACAACACACACAACACACACAACCCACAACCCACAACCCACGACAACACAACAAACACCCCCCACACAGCACACAGCACGCAACACACACGACACAACAGACAAACCACACAACACACCACACGCCGCACACCACACAACAAGCAACGCACGACGCATGACACACACACACACACACAACACACACACACCACACACACACACCACACACACACGCGGCTCCTACTCAACACGCGGCTCCCGCTCGGTACACCGTCGAGCTTTGTGACCGCAGGCGTGACCGTGTGCGCTGGTTCCACGGGTGGAGCGCGCTCACTCTCGGAAAAGGGGCTCTCGCTGGACATCTCCACGAGCTGTCGGGTCGCATGTCTGGAGGGCTCTTGATACAGCTGGGAAGATGAAGGGCACGACTGTTCAAAAGGGGCTATCGCGTGAACGGCAATCACACGTAGCGCTCGTCTGTCGAGGGTGCGCCTCTCGGAATTACAGTGAAGGGATACTGCGATGGGGCTTGGGACGGGAGGTTCGTTGATGGATCCTGGGCTTGCTCTGGCTCTGACCCTCACCTCCTCCTCATCCTCTTCTGCCTCCTCCTCCGTCCTCCTCCTCCTCCTCCTCCTCCTCCTACCCATCCTCAGCCTTAACCTCCTCCTCCTCCTCCTCCTCCCTTTCTATTACCCCTCCCCCTCCTCCTCCTCCTCCTCCTCCTCCTCTTCTCCTCCTCCTCCTCCTTCTTCTTCCTCCTCCTCCTCCTCTTCTTCTTCCTCCTCCTCCTCCTCCTCCTCGATCCTCCTCCTCCTCCCTCCTTCCCCTCCTCCTCCCCCTTCTCCTCTTCCTCCTTCTCCCCCTCCTCCTCCTCTCACTTCTCCTCCTCCCTCTTCCTCCTCCTCCTCCTCCTCCTCCTTTTCCTTTTCCTCCTCCCTCCTCCTCCTCCTCCTCCCCTTCTCCTCCTCCTCCTCCTCCTCTCCTCCTTTTCCTCTTTTTCCTTCTCCTCCTCCTCCCCTTTCCCCTTCTCCCCCCTCCTCCTCTCTCTCCTCCTCCTCCTCCTCCTTCTCCTCCCTCCTCCTCCTTCCTCCTTTTCCTCTTTTTCCTCCTCCTCCTCCTCCTCCTTTTCCTTTTTCTCCTCCTCCTCCTCCTCCTCCTCTCCTCCTCTCCTCCTCCCCCTCCTCCCCCCCGCCCCTTCCCCCTCGTCTCACCCCCTCCGCAGGGCGCCGCGGGGGGAGCCCCCTACCCTTGGCAGGCCTGGCCGGCCCGGCGCTCCTGGTGCCCGAGGTGGATCTGGCTCATGTTATTCTCCGGCGCGTCGCAGGTCGAGTAGGCAACCTTTGGCGGCGAACCCGCCGCCAGGGGGGGAGGAGGAGGGGGGTATATACGAAGAAACAAACGGCATGAATAGAAACTTGTGGCGCTCCGCGCGACTTCTTGGATCGTGTCCCCCTACAGGGGGGATTTTCGACGGAAAATAAAACATACCCCAAACATACCCCAGGGAGGGGGGGAGGGCGAGAATGAAGGGGCCCACAAGCAAGTTTCGGATTCGAGCTTCGGGGTTCGAGGTTTCTGGAGTCTCGCAAAAGGTCTGGATCCGCCGCGGGGGATGCACGATCCACTACATCGATGGAGACATGTGGCTCTCGGGCGCTTGTGAGTGGACACTGTGCGAATTGTTCTCAGGGTCGCGTAGGCCACCTTTAGCGGCGAGCCCCAGGGGGGAAGCTTCGAGGTTCGAGGCTTCCGGGGATTCGGCGTTGGCTCTCGGCGGCCTTTCGGCCTCGGGGAGCGTTCCAGCGGCTGCGCCTAACCGAAGGGCGTTCCAGGGGTGACCGGCTCGCCCCGAACGGCCGCCGGAGACCCAGGCCATGACCCGAAGGCCAAACTCGGCGGCGGGCCCAAGAGGGGAGGCGAGAGGGGGCAGGGTTTCTCAAAGGTGGCGGGGCTTCTCGGAAGCCCCCGCGCCTTCTGATACGTCTTCGCTGCGCCTCCTCCGAAGATGAACACGACTGCTGAGAAGGCCGGAGGTCTCCTGAGAAGCCCCGCCGCCTTCTGAGAAGGCCGGCCCCCGTTTCACCTCCCGGGGAACACACGATGACACAAGCGTCAAAGCTCGGAGGTCCGCGCGGCTTCTTCGGATCGGCGCTGGGAGCCCCTGGCGGCGATTCTGGCGCCGCCCCCGGGGCGCTCCGCGTGCCAGGGAGGGGGGTCCAGCCGATCCGAGAAATCGGCACGGACCTCCGAGTGGTTATGTTTACAGTCGGGGCGTTGACCTAAGGAACCCTACATAAGGAACGAGGCCCCTATTTTCCATAAGTTCAACTTCGACTTCGTATCGAAAACCTAAGTAAGGAACATCCAAGGCAAGCTGCGACACACTTAAGGAACACGGAGCCCCTCCTCAACGAAAAGGGTTCCTTCTTCAGGGCTCCGACTGTATATCATTGTATGTCCCCCTAGAAGAGAAAATAACGGGGCAGGCCTCCGCGGAAGGCGGCGGGGCTTCTCTCAGAGACACTCCAGCCTCCTGAGGAGCCGGCCCCCATCCTCGGAGAAGGCCCACCATCTTCGGAGCAGGCCCAGCGAAGACTTCCCAGGAGGCACGAGGGCTCCTGAGCAGCCCCGCCGCCTCTGAGAGGGCCTGCCCCCCCTCACTTCCCCCCTGGGCCCGCCGCCGACACCAGGCACGTTCGTCGCCGTCGCCGTACCTCCTGCTCACTGGCCATCGCTCGGACGTCCATCCCCTGTGTTTTTTTCGGCCTCGTGCGTGGTTTTTTCGCGAAATGATCAAGGATGCTCCTCGATGGTCCTCGCCGAAGGAAACATGCACACGTCCGAGCGATGCCAAGGGCAAGCGCTCCCCGGAGCGAGGGCCGAGGGGCAGCGATCCCAGCTCTCCGACGATCCGGTTCCTGTCGAACCAGCGGTTTGCTGCCCCTGACTTCGGCCTCGGAGGAGGAGGGGGAGGAGGAGGAGGGGGAGGGGGAGGAGGAGGAGGAGGGGGAGGAGGAGGGGGAGGAGGCGGAGGAGGGGAGGAGGAGGGAGGAGGCGGAGGAGGCGGAGGAGGAGGGGGGAGGAGGAGGAGGAGGCGGAGGAGGAGGAGGAGGAGGAGAGGAGGAGGAGGAGGAGGAGGAGGAGAGGAGGAGGAGGAGGAGGAGGAGGAGGAGGAGGAGGAGGGCGGAGGAGGCGGAGGAGGCGGAGGAGGAGGAGGAGGAGGAGGAGGAGGAGGAGGAGGAGGAGGAGGAGGAGGAGGAGGAGGAGGAGGAGGAGGGGGGGGGCCCCAAGAACATCAGACGCTGCTCTGGGACGAACAACTACCCCAGCGAGGCGGTCGAGTCCTCGGCGGCCACGAACCGAACAAACACATATCGGCGGATGTCGGGGACGGAGGGGGAACGTGAGGGGGGGGGGGACCGGCTCAGGGGGGGGGGGCCGCATTGACCTGGAATCGGCGGTGCATCGCCGACAGATCGGCGATAGCCCCCCGCCAGCGAAGCCGCACGCTCATGGAGAGGACATCTCACCCTTTACTTCTCCGGGGGACGAGCATGTCACCCTCTTCCTCCCCTACGAGGCGTCCTGGCCGCCGCCCTACTCCCTCCTATGATAAAACGGAATGGTATATAACTAACTGATTATTGGGCCTGCTCCGCGTGCTCGCTAGCTTTCATATGACGGCAGTCTTCTGTCTGGGCATCGTTTCTGAATGGGCTGTTGGGTATTAGCGAAGCGTGCACACTTGTTGTCTTGAGATATCAAAGCATGAAGATGGCGGAGTGTGGTAGCATATTGCAAACAATTTACTGCTAGCTTCAAATAGTTAACATCCTCCCTCCTGGCACCTGTAGAATTGCTGATCCTTTGCCCTCATTCCCTACCTAAGCTCTGCCTAGAAGGGTTCTTACTCGGTTAGCTTAAAGGGCCAGGCAGTGGAAAACGCCCCGGGCGGTTCCCCCGGCATCCGCCCTGCGGTTCCCCCCGTCCCCTGGGAGCTTTAGCTTAGCTTTAGCTTAGCTTTAGCTTAGCTTTAGCTTAGCTTTAGCTTAGCTTTAGCTTTAGCTTTAGCTTAGCTTTAACTTAGCTTCAGCTTAGCTTTACTGATACTACTAATGCTGCTTTCCTAGGGGCTCCAACTCCTAGGTAGGGTCGCACTGGGATAATGTGTGAAGCTGCCTTCCAAACTAATTGTAAATCATGATGGTGAGGAGCTGCGTCGAAGAAACCGAGGGCACATAAAGTATGGCCTCTGCAACTCCAGCGCCTGAAGGAGGTCACAAAAACGACTTCGCTGAAGAATGGCAGGCTGCGTGCACAACGTATCTTGCACCATAAGGATTGCACCATACATGTCGTAACGATTACGGTGCACTATACTCTGGTTGCACCACATATATACAAGTATGGCACATGGAGAGCCAAAGAGACAACAGTTTGGGATCCACGCTGGCAAACCTTTTGCAGGTGTGGAAGCGCGCACGGCAGTCGACCACACATGACTCCCAATGCAATCTGATCTAACTAAGGCGGTGTCTGCGAGACCCTCCTCCTGCCACCGCCAATGCTCGTGATACGGCAGGTTTCTGACATGATGGCGTGGGCTCTGGATCCTGATGCCGCGTGAATCGCTGAGCCTTGAACGACACCCTCTCACGTTGGAGGTGGCCGCAGGGTCTGAACTGAATGGGCCCCGAAACAATCGGTCAAGAAGGGGGGCTTAGGGCAACTCCGCCTAATATCTGTCTCCCAATCTCTCCTCGGATCCCTCTGTTTCACCCAGGATCAGCTTTTGACGGTCCCGGGGCTCGCACACAGCCCCCTGAGGCCGAACAAAGCAAGAAGCCTTCCCGAACCCAGCGCCTCGAACCTCCACTCCCGTCCTGCTGGCCAGAACCTGTACTGGGCCACCTCAGACCTTAGGCCCGCTCCATCTCGACGCGCTCTTTCGCATGGGCGCTGCGCCGTGGGCTCTTTTCTGTGGGCAACCTCAGACCCCCCCCCCTTGCCAACACGCCTCTGTGTGCGACAGGGAGGAGTTACTTATAAGGACAAGGATTGGAGTAGGAGAGGGAGGAGGAGGAAGAGGAGGAGGAAGAGAAGGATGAAGAACGATTCATTTCCATTGAAGGAACTGCCCCGTTGGAAGGCAACAGTTTGAAGACCCAGAAGCATGCAAAAACATTGTTCTCGAGATTCCAACGCCACGGATCAACCTGACTGTTCAAATCTTGACGACCCTGAATCGTACCAGATAGCCATTCCTGGGACTGTAACTCGGCGAATCAACGTAACTGTTGCGCCCGCATAATCCTGAACCCTTCCAGAGCACAGGTTTATAAACGAATGTGCGAGGCACTAAGGCGAGAACCACAGTTTGAAAAGGACTTGCCCTCAATCCGTGAAGCTCTTGCACATATTCTAAACGAGTGGACGCGGCGCTAAAGCGCGAGCCACATTTTGAAAACGACTCGCCCTCAATCCGTGAAGCTCTTGCAACTTGGTTGAACGAATGTGCGCGGCGCTAAGGCGCGAGCCACATTTTGAAAACGACCCGCCCTCCAGCTGTAAAACTGTTGCCACTTCTTAAGCTTCAGAGTCATATTATGGTGCGGAAGTCTCATGCGAAACGCCCGGCCGCCCTGGAAACTGGCATCGTGGTGCGGCGGGGATAAGCTATATGTAAGGGAAGGAATGGAGGAGGAGGAGGAGGAGGAGGAGGAGGAGGAGGAGGAGGAGGAAGAGGAGGGGGAGGAGGAGGAGGAGGAGGATGATGAGGAGGAGGAGAGGAAGAGAAGGAGGAGGAGGAGGAGGAGGAGGAAGAGGAGGAGGAGGAGGAAGAGGAGGGAGGTGGAGCAGGAGGAGGAGGGAGGTGGAGGATGAGGAAGAAGAGGAGCAGGACTAGCGTCAAGCTAGCCAACTCGAGCGAGTCAAGCATGGCATGCCCATTCCCACCCGCCCTCCCACAACATAGGAAACAGTGCTGGCGTAACTGGGGACAGGAATCAGATCGGAAAGGTGGTTTGCCACAGCTGATGCAGCCGCGATGGCGGTTACAGACGGGACATTCCTGGCGCGTCTCAAAGACTGCGCTGGAATTTCAAGACGAGCCGAAGAGGCCCCAGGAAACCTCAGGAGGCCCCAGGAAACCTCAGGACGCCCCAGGAGGTTGCAGGAACCCCCAGCGAACCCTAGGAAGCCCTAGGGGAATCCAGGAGGGCCCAGGAAGCCCCAGGAGGTGCCAGGAAACTTCAGGGAGCCCCTAGAAGGTGTCAGGAAGCCCCGGGGAATCCAAGGAAACCCCAGGATGCCTCAGGAGGCCCCAGGAAGATCCCCGA